AAGCAAATTTTAAGAAACTATCTTTTTGCTGTCAAATGTCCTCAGTCTTTGGTGAGCTCCAAAAACTTTCATCCCCAGCCATCATTGGGAAAAGATTTATCACTTAGTACAATGGAGAAGGGGTGAATATCTCACTCCAGATGCTGTCTCAGAAAATGTCCACTAGGGGAGATTTTGGGCACATCTCAAATGCTATTTTCTTACACTTTGTACCTGAAAGCTAATCCCCAGAAACTATATATATGCAATGAACAATTTACTTGGTTATGGGAAGACAGGATATTCCTAAAGATGGCAATAGTCCTTACCCAGGCATTGAAACTAGGTTTAGGATGAGTATATTAGGAGCCATATGACCAGGTTTGCCAGTATTGTGTCCATCAAACATAAGCAAACATTGAATAAGGGTATAAATGCCTCATTTTCCCCCAGAAGCCACAGACATTGGTTAAAAATAGATTCTTAGTGTCTTCTAACATTTTCAAGGTAAGGATCACTTTTACAATGCTTTTATATGTCTAGTCCACTCTCAGTGTCTGTATATATCCTCACTGACACTGGCCAGTAATTCTGTGGCCCTCAGTGGATTGAGAACCCCAATCAGGAAAAATATTTTGAGCACACATTGGATTTTCCAGAAGCAGACTGCAGAGATGGCATTTTGCTAGAGGATATTTATTAGAAAGCAAAAGTTGTAGAAAGAAGGAGGAAGAAGCAGAATTGAGTAGAAGAAGTCAAACTGCGATACAGGCCCCATTGAGTCTCAGCCAGCCCTCCAAGAAACTCTGAATCCTTTATGACCTATCTGAGTAGTCCCATGTTGGCTTATGTGTAACTGTGCTTTTATATTCTACCTCAAGCAGTCATTGTATATAGGCCACGCTGGGAAGGGTGTATTTTGGTGAAGGAGGCTCTCCGAAGCTAAGACAAACTATGAAGCTGCAAGCAGCTTGGGCCACAAGTTCTTCCTGGAAGGATTGTCTGGGTGGCCCATCTCAGTGTTCACCCTAGTCTACCCATGGTGCTGCTTGGATCTACTTCTTCCTATCCTTTCAGGGAGATGCTCTTCTAGGATTCTAATGGCTTCTCTTCCTGAGGGAAACTTAGAAGAGGAATTAGTGGTACCAGTTACAGCCCTGCACTGCAGCTAGTTTTAGGACTCTAAATGATATCTTCCTCTTCTGATGATCAGGGTGAATTAACTGTGCCAAGATGCTGACTTTTTTCCTTGCCTGCTGGTGCCTGGACACAGGGAACTTGAAATGTTTAAAAGATAGCCATAGGTTATAGTTTAATGGGACTCTTACTGTGTCCTCTGTGAAAATGTGTCCTCTTTGGGAACCAGGGCCTCTATCCCTGCAGAGCCTACATTTTGTGGGGATGGTACAGAGTCCTCCACTGAGGCATTGGGAATGATAGTTTTCCATCAATATTTCCTACTGGAGTTCCAGTACCATGTCTTTGAGTCAATGTGCTTACTTTATCTTATAGGATAGTGCCTCATCCTCATAAAGTATCACTTCCTAGCTGGCACTTTAACTACCCTTCAGCAGACCATTCCAGTATTCTCTCAAGGTGGATGCTTCTTGGTGTGATGTGATATAAAAATTAGATCTCATGGTTATGAGCCCATTTCTGCCCCTTATTTGCTGTAAAATGGATCCCCTGGTCTAACACGATATTTTGGGATCCTATATGATCGGTTAGACACTTTGTAAAGCCATTAGATACTGGGGCTAATTGAGGCCTGAGTGTGGGGAAGGAATCCATTTTCAAAGTACGTATCATTTCTGTTAGAATAAATCTTTGGCCTTTCCAGAATCAACTTGCTCCCTCTAAAGGGCCTCCTCAAAGAATGAATGGTACCACATTATGGGTTCAATGTTCTCTCTTGCTGGCAGTTTGGATATTCAGTGCAACAGTATTTAAATTAGCCTTGTTAAGTGGGAACCTTGTGATGTTAGGCCCATGCACACTTTCCATCTCTCCCACCATGCCCCTTTCTTTCATATGCCCATCATTCAGCACTGATGGTGCTGGTGACCAAGACTTACCAATGTCATTTTTCTGAGTCATTCTGTCTACTTCTAGGTACTATTCCATGTGTGACCCTCTCTGTGACACATGTGAGACTTTGTGCCCACTCCAGTATGTCCACCTATATTCCTATTTCTCAAATCTTCTTGGACACAGTCTTACTACCTTCTTCCCTTCAGGTGTCCAATCCACCAGCCAGGTCACTCACAAGAGCCCATTAGTCCATACATATTCTAACTCAAGTAACCTCTCTTTCTCACAACGTGTATGATCTGGTACACTGCCTGATCTGCCAGTAACAGGTCCCAAAGAAAAGGAAATATATAGAATGCCTGAGAAAGAATCCAAAATAATATTAAAGAAGCTCAGTGGTATACCATAAACCACAGATAAACAATACAGAGAAATCAGGAAAACAATTGATGTTCTGGTCAGGCATGGTAGCTCATGTCTGTAATCCCAGCACTTTGAGAGGCTGAGGCAGGGGGATCACTTGAGGTCAGGAGTTCAAGACCAGCCTAGGCAACATAGCAAGACCCTGTTTCTACACACACACACACACACACACACACACACACACACACACAAAATAGCTGGGTGTGGTGGTGCACACCTATAGTTCCAGCTACTAGGGAGCCTGAGGCAAGAGGATCTCTTGAGCCCAGGAGTTCAAGGCCATAGTGAGCTATGATCATACTACTGCACTCCAGCCTGGAAGACAGAGACCCCGTCTTTAAAAAAAAAAAAAAAGTATTGATTACTGTCCAATAGAAATATAATGCAGGCCACGTAGTAATGTTTTAGTTAAATTAATATATCTAAAGCATTATCATTTTAGCATGTAATCAATCATTAATTAACTATTTTGTATTCTTTCTGCAATGTGCTCAAAATCGAGTGTGTCTTTTACATTTACCTTATGTGTCAGCTTGTGTTAGCCACATTTCAAGTACTCAGAGGCCCCTTAAACTGCTACATACAATTTAACCCCGTCGGCCCCAGCAAGCTGCTTAACTCATCTGCCTCATCTGTCAAAGGGAAATGATATACTACTAAATTTGGTGGTTGGTGAGAATTAAAGCAGGCACATAGAAAAATGTCTAATATATGTTAATGTAACCAGGATCATTAGATAGATAGATAGGTAGATAGAGGCCTGTAAGGATAAAAATGATACTTCATGCATTAACTTCTTTTAGATGCAACACAGCAAGCCATGTTTTCATTAGTCAATGCTTTCTGTAGGCTAAAAGACTGTATTCTGTGAGAATCTAAGCAAGGTCTTTGCATGGTAGCTATTGAAAAAGAAAAAAATCATGTCTTTAAGTAAAAGTTGAAAATAACTCATTATTCAAGACAGAAAAGAAATTGTGTTTTTGTTGTAAAGCTTGTTCTATGTTAGTTCTGTGTATTTTTCTTGCATTCTATACTACTTGAAGGAGGAATAATAGAGAATCAGTGAAGACAAAGGTGGATAAACCCTGAGTCTTGCTTACTCTGAAATAGTGTAACTGATTGCTTTCTTTCTCGTCTCTCGGCACATCAAATTCATTCTTTACTCAAGCTATTTACTCTACCTAGAACAGTCTTCCTCCCTCTTCACTTGGCTGGCTGGCCTCTTCTTATTCTTCAAACTTCAGATTAAATGTCAGGCCTCGGTCGGGCATGGTGACTCAAGTCTGTAATCCCAGCATTTTGAGAGGCAGAGGCAAGAGAATTGCCTGAGCCCAGGGGTTCAAGACCAGCCTGGGCAACTTGGTGAGACCTTGTCTCTACAATATGTAAAAAAAAAAAAAAATTAGCCAGGCGTGGTAGCACACATTTGTAGTTCTGGCTACTTGGAAGGCTGAGGTGGAAGGATGGCCTGAGCCCAGCAGGTCAATGCTGGAATGGCCTTGAGTGTGCCACTGCACGCCAGCCTGGGTGACAGAGTGAGAAATGTCAGGCCTCAATCTTCCCTAATTGCCTTTCTAAAATAATTTTATTCTCCACTTCAGCATCATAGTTGTTTTCTTTATGAGTTTATATCACAGTTTGTAATTATTTAATTTTTTTTTGAGTTGGAGTCTCACTCTGTTGCCCAGACTAGAGTGCAGTGGCCGC